GCAGCAACAACAGCAGCAACAGCAGCAGCAGCAGGCAATCCCTGAAGACCCGCCTGTTGGAGGTGAAACAGCAGCAGCAGCAGCAGCAGCAACAGCAGCAACACATTCGCATGTATTGCGTCAGCTCCAGGAGCTGCAGCAGGAGCAGCAGCTGCAACAGCAGCAGCAAGTGCAGCAGCAGCAAGTTCAGCAGCAGCAGCAGCAGCAGCAGCAGCAGGGCGTTCGATATGAGCTGCTGCAGCAGGTGCTGCAGCCCAAGGNCAGCAGCAGCAGCAGCAGCAGCAGCAGGGCGTTCGATATGAGCTGCTGCAGCAGGTGCTGCAGCCCAAGGGGGACGATCTAGATAAACAAATTCTGCTGCAGCAGCGGATCCTGAGAGCGCAGCAGCAGCAGCTGCTGCAGCTGCGAGCTAGCAACCTCAGCAGCAGCGCGGAGGAGAGTTGGCAGCAGCAGGACCCTCTGCTGCTCCAGCTGCAGCAGCAGCAGCAGCAGCAACAACAGCAGCAGCAACAGCTGCAGCAGCAGCTGCAGCAGCAGCAGCAGCAGCTGCAGCAGCAGCAGCAGCGGCTGATGCCGACACCGCAGCAACTCGCATTGCAGTGCAGCGGCCTGCAGCAGCAAGTGCTGCTGCTGCAGCAGGCCCTCCAGAGCAGCAGCAAGGAGACGTTGGCTGGGCTTAAGGGCACACTGCAGCAGCAGCAGCAGCAGCTGCAGGTGCTGCTGCTGCAGCGGCTGCAGCAGCTGCAAGAGCAGCAGCAGCAGCGACAGCAGCAGCTAGGGCTTCAGCAAACAGACGTTAATGGGTGTACTGCTGCTTCGTTGCTGCTGCAGCAGCAGCAACAGCAGCAGCAGCAGCAGCAGCAGCANTTAATGGGTGTACTGCTGCTTCGCTGCTGCTGCAGCAGCAGCAACAGCAGCAGCAGCAGCAGCAGCAGCAGCACGCGTTGGATACAGCAGCAGGACAGCCTGATCCGTGGGTTTTTGCTGCCGACCAGCAGCAGCAACTGCATCTGCAGCAGCAGCAGCTACAGCAGCAGCTGCAGCAGCAGTTACAGCAGCAGCTCCAACAGCAGCTGCAGCAGCAGCTGGAGCAGCAGCAGCAGCAGCAACAGCAGCAGCAGCAGCAGCAAAAGAAACGCGAGAGACGCGGCACCGTGCGAGGCCCCCTGCTGCAGCTGCCTGCTGTTGAGGTGCGCAGAGGCCAGGGCAAGAAGCAGCGGAAGCAGCAGACAGGAGACAGCTGGGATGCAGCAGCAGCAGCTGTTGCTGCTGCAGCAGAGGCTGCAGCAGAAGCAGCAGCAGCAGCAGCAGCTGTCACCACAGCTGAGGCAGCACCGGGAAAACGCCGCAGAATTCCATCCGCAAAAGCCCTAGCAGCAGCAGCA